AAGCAGAAATGGATTCCTCGTACGTTTAAATGGTTAAAACCTTCATTTGATAAATAAGAACCGACGGGATAAACCCTATTTTTAAGGAAGACTGTAGTCAATGGGCGATTGTTTACATCTGCTTAGTGATAACAGACATGGACATTAGCTCAATATTTGGCCATTTTCATGAGTTTTTACTTGTTTGTCACTATTTGAAGGTAAGTTTATTTTGTAAATCAATTGTCTAGTGTCTAAGGATCATGTTAAAAGCTGTAAAGGTATACTTTGTTACTTATTTATTCAGAACACACTCCGGCAGTCCAACGCTCAAACCTGGATGTAGCGAGTCAGTTGTTATATCTTACTATTTCACCCTTTAATGCTTCACTGAAGACACCAAAATGATAGTATCAATCATTGATGATAAAAAAAACTTACCTTTGACAATACTGATGAGATGAGGAGACCGGTATGTTTTAGCTGGAGGCAAGGAAAGTAGACGTAGGATCCTTCTTCGATTACCAGACTTTATCGATAAATTTTTCTGTATAGTGTTACATTTAAAACACACAGGATTTTAAAATAACATAAGTTTATAAAACGTGGGAACGTTCTGAATGATATTGAGATGTTTGTTGAAGAGTTAAGAATGATTTACACGCATTGAGAGAACATCCAGGGTTTGAGCGTTGGACTGCCGGAGTGTGCTCTGAATAAATAAGTAACAAAGTATACCTTTACAGCTTTTAACATGATCCTAAGACACTAGACAATTGATTTACAAAATAAACTTACCTTCAAATAGTGACAAACAAGTAAAAACTCATGAAAATGACCAAATATTGAGCTAATGTCCATGTCTGTTATCACTAAGCAGATGTAAACAATCGCCCATTGACTACAGTCTTCCTTAAAAATAGGGTTTATCCCGTCGGTTCTTATTTATCTAATGAAGGTTCTAACCATTTAAACGTACGAGGAATCCATTTCTGCTTTCAATTTTGATCAAAAAATTAGAGATTGACTCAATATTTGCATTTGAAAAGCGGCTGTCATTTCCTTACGGGAAAATACATTGTAAGTGATGAAGAAACCAGGTCTGTCATATCATTTCACGTCACAAGTAGTCACAAGCATAGAATCCACCAATCACAAGTATGGCGGTTGAAAAGCGACCGTTTTGAATGGGTCGGTTCCAAAAACAGCTTTTTTTTGAGTTTGAGAGGTCATTTCAAGGTTTTTTAGTAGCGCCATCGTTCTTTTCGTGAAATTTGCCATAAGAATCAGGCATCAATTTGCAAATCCCCGCACCTTGCAACAGGCCCATTGAAATTTTTGTCAAATTTAGCTTCTTATCGATGTTACGGTGAGTCGCCATCTTGTATGTTTACACACGGCCCTAAGAGCATCATGAAGCCTAAAAACTCGTTGACCAATCAAAAAGCGGAACAGTTTTCCTGTAGTAAAAAGATACGAATGGCCATACTCTGTCTAGAAAGATGCTCTAAACCCACCATCCCTTTGTCAGCAATTTCGTCAAGGTCGACATCCAAAAAAGGAATCAAAATTCAGAGTAAGAAGAAAGTCATTAGGAATATTGTGTGGCATGAAATTTTTCTTTGAAAAATCGTCGTGTTATTCAATAAAAATTATTTGCTCATTAACCGGCAAAGGTACTCTAACTGGCAACGGGCAATACCGAAGACGTCGCTGGCCGCGGAGCGAGCGGCCTTTTTGGAATCGCAGCGGCCCGGGGTTGGGGCTGCGTAGCGACCAGGGGACATAGCCCCCTAGTCATTACATAATTTTGTAAATGCCACCATGCCACCTATTGTCTTCCCCTTTCCTGTTTTTGAAATACATTTTCAGACCCCCCCCCCTCCCGCACCCGCAAATTAAAATTCTACAACTCTGCCTAATTCGACAACGTTGAGATATTTTGCCGCGAGATTTCAACAACCAATCACAGCTGACCATTCCGCACAGTTTATTTACCTGCAATGAGGTTATGTTTGACGGGCTCCCTAATATTTTTCAATTTTAAAATTCTTCAGTTATGAAAAATTCTATAGTTAATTTAGAAGCAGCCGGAACCAATGAGGAATCCGATGATAATGTAAGTACATTTTAAGTATTATCATAACCGAAGAGCGTTGTGAAACTGTCGAAGTTCTCCCGGCGTATTTTAGAGGTTAGGTTATGTTCCTTAGCTTCATTCAAATTTTTTTAATTTTAAGTTCTGGAAGGATACGTGCCACGAACTTCTGCCTGCCAATTTGCAGCTTTGAAATTTACCACACTTCATATGTGTTTTCTATTAAAGGGGTTCTTTTGATAAAAAAAATATGGACCTGCTTTGAACCTGAGCCTGCCATATAATCCTCAGCGCCCTGCCAGAAGTATCCACTAGACTGAGCAGTCTAGTATGTACCAAATGAATTTGTTACTCCGTGAGTCATCTTCATTGAATGTACATGCTCACTGCCAAAATTGAGGGTTTTGTGCATCACGACGGCGCAAGTCGGCAATCACATATCTTGTTCGCGGTGTCTGAAAATCTCCGCCTCTATGTTATTTTTCTAAAGGAGAACAAATTAACATCATTCCTTGAAGTTCATGCAAAATTTTCTTTGCAGAGAGAAGAAAACTGTGCGGAAAAGAAAGGCGGAACCTTATTTTTTCAAAACCTTAGATACTTAGTTCAGAGGCGCACAACTGCTGTTCAAAACTGAAGGTTCTCTTGTTGTCTCATCAGCAGATCATTTTAAAGTATTGATCTGTCGCTGCCCTCTCTCAGCACCCCTGTAACTGTCTGTTTTTACTCACATAATTTTGGAATTGTTCCATGGCAAGAATATCAAATTGAAATTATTATTTACCATTGTTCTTTCATCTTAGGATGAAACGTCCAGCATCGGAAGTACGAACACTGACAATAACTCATCCAGGAGCGCAACCCCAACCAACAGACGTAAAAAAGGAAGTCGAGGTCGTCAAAAATCAAACAGTTTCAAACCCATGAAATTGCAGTATAAATTGACGTAAGGATTTAGATTTATATAAATGAAGTAATATTAAGTTGAGTTAATTTGTCAAGTATATTTATTTTATATAAACGAGATGAAAGGAGGGGCGCCATTTGGAGGGCGATAATTTCAAGCAACAATTTTGTTGTAAACTTAGGTGAAACATAATTAGAGGAATGGAAATCACAACCTTTTCTGCAACAGTGTGAAAAACCTGTAGTACCACTACCACTTACTTTACATCTTCATGAAGGTAGTTTCCTAGTTTGAGACATACACCTAATCTGGAGTGGACCAGGGAATTACGGGTTCGGCAAGGAACAAACGGAATGAGAGGAGGAACGGAGAAAGGCATTTGAGAATGGGCCGATCAAAGATTACGAAAAACGTTCAATTTCTGTAATCTTTATTCCCGTTTGTGACATCCATGAGCCGAATTGTCTTGACTCTCAGTATAAAGGGACTCTACATACACCCTACTCTCAATTTTAAATTTTACTGTAATTTATAGGTGGACCAATGCTTGAATAGAGAAGAAGCACGATATTTATGTTGTGAAGCCAGCTAATCATTTCACATTTTTTTTTTTTTAGCTGCAGCATCAAAGAAGACCATGGACAGCCAATTTTTGGTTGCCAATTCAACCATCTTCTGAAACCAAACGAACCATTAATCTTTGCCTCTGTTGGGAGTAATAGAGTTTCCATATATGAATGCCCTGAGAATAGTGGTGTCAAATTACTTCAGTGTTATGCTGATCCCGATGTATCCTTTTTAATCTATATTAATTTTTTCAACAGGCAGATCTTAATCGCATTTGCAGCCATTAAAATTTTCACAGTCCCTCTCTCCTCTTAGTAATTATAATTTTTTTTACTTAAATTTTTTATTTTTTCTTTAATGAGACTGAACATTCATCTGTAGGATAGTACTTCGTTCTTTTTCTTAGAAAATGAATCGATGCAACGGGCCTGTTGCAAACTTTTGCTAGAGCACAAATCAAAGTTGTTTCTATCAGTAAATGTCTCAAAAATCACGATGAGCGCATCGGCAAAGTTTGAAATGCACTCCTAACTTCACAATCTGCGTAAAAAATTTGCGTTTTTTGATAAAAATGCAAATGATAAAATAAAATAAAAATGATACTGCGGCACAGGTGAATATTTTGTTAGAGGTTTCGTTCTATCCAACCCCTGTGCACTAGGGTACTACACAATATTCAACATGGCCGACACTAATCCGCCAATACAAATGTGCCTGGACAAGATTCTAACCATTTGTTAACAACCCAGCATGTTTTCATTCACGATTTCTACGTGTTGATAAAAATCCGGTTCGGTTGACCTTGTGCTCCCGATTGCGATTTGCGCGCTGAAGCGTCGGCCATGTTGGGTATTGCTATTGCGAAAGGGTTCAATGGAACGACTCCTCTAACGAAATGTTCACTTGTGCTGTGGTATCATTTTTGAAGGGGGAAGCTCAAAAAAATGCAAATTTCTTACACAGATTGTGAAGTTAGGAGTGCATTTCAAACTTTGTCAATGTGCTCATTATGATTTTTGAGACATTCACTGATAGGAACAACTTTGATTTTTGCTCTAGCAAAAGTTTGCAACAGGCCCATTATTTGGCTTTCTGAAGGTTTCTCTCCCCCTCTTATTTCAAAAAGAATAAAAATGAAATTTATGAGCCTGGGTGTACTGCCTTTCCTGGGTAACAAGGTGCTGATTGAGTCTAAAATCGAGTTTTGACAGCTTAAATGGCTATCATGGTGCCTTTTAAAGTTGACTCAACCTGTCGATTTTTTCAAACTGGTAATTGTAAAATAGCAGCGGTGCTCTCAATGTACTGTTTGCAATGTAGCAGCCTTGCCTGAGAATGAAAAGATTGGAGAACGGGAGGGAGACGTGGAGAAAAACAGCATAATAAAGTTAATTTTGCTCCTAAAATATTGTAAATGGCTCCTAAAAATTAGGGTCTCTGGCCAAGGTGGCTCCTAAAATATTAAGGGAAAGACAGGATACTGATCTGTCTGCAAGTAGTTATGCTGTTTTGAGTATGAATTTTTTCCTTAATGTCAAGTTTTGTAGAATGAGGAGAATTTCTACACATGTGCCTGGTCTTACGAGCAAGATACTGGACGGCCACTATTAGCCGTAGCTGGATCAAGAGGAGTCATCCGAATCATTAGTCCCTTCACGCAAACTAGTATCAAACATTTCATAGGTAACAACCCTGAGTTGCTTTATTTTGAGACAGATTATTCCATCAACTCCTGTGTTGACACTAATCTTTAAAGATGTAATTTTTTCTCAAAGATTGAAGCTTGGTTGGAAATTAGACCTCAAATATTAATAATTAAAGAAAAGAGAAATAGTAAAGTGAATAGAATAATTCTCTTCTTCACAATTTGGTATTCATACAAATGAGCGAGTTCTTTAATTGAAGATCATAAACTTAAAGAGGGTAAAACTATAAGATCCTTACACTTTGAAGACCCAAGAACTTTGGAAAAAAATTTAGTTTCTCCATTTGTTCAGCGGACGAAGAATGGTAATGAACTCCATTTCTCTCAGCCTGTAATATTATTGCATTGAAGCAACTCAGAGCAAGTGAAAATTTGAAATATCTCACTCCCAGAAGCTGAAGGCTTACTTCCCAAGAAAAGAAACAACTTTTGAAAGCAATCTTTCTCTGATAAACTCTAATATCAAAATTATATAATGTGCATTAAATTATGGTACATGGCTCAAATTTCTCAAGGGATTCGTTCGATTTTTGTTAAGCAAATTAAGTTGCTTCTTAAACTTAATCATTGCTCCATATAGTCTGAAACCAGACAAAATGGATATCAAATGAAACTTCTGGATTCATTTGTTTATTTTAATGAAGAGGCCACATTCAGATCTTATTTGATATATCTCTTATCATTCAAACCAATTCCTTGGATAAAATTGATGATCCTCCTAGGCCAGGCTCATCCTATCAGTTTCAACCATCTAATTACAGTTTTGTGGTCTGTACAAGTGGCCCATTTGCAATATTGAATGCAACTTTATTTTCCTGAAGAAGAAATTACCAGAAAGTGACATTGTATCATCTCATGTTGAAATCTCCGGTGCTTACACAGTTTTATGATTTTTCTGCTTGATTCTTCCCGAATAGGTCATGGTCATGCAATAAATGAAGTGAAATTCCACCCAAGAGACCCAAATATTCTTTTGTCGGTCTCAAAAGATCACACTCTAAGACTTTGGAACATCAAGACTGATATTTGCATAGCGATTTTCGGCGGTATTGAAGGTCACCGCGATGAAGTCCTTAGTGCGGTAATTTAATTTTTAACAATTAAAGATTACAATACTACTTCTATGTGACTGTTCAGGGGAAACAGGAATTTAGTCCACTTGCCCTGGAGTTAGTTTAGTTACCCATTTTGAGCTCCAAACATGATAATTTTAAAATTTCCATCACCTTTTCTTACAGTTATGTTTTTTTCACTGCAGACCTCAAACTGTCATAACTTCATTTCAAGTAAGAATTTTTTTGATTATTTTACGGTGAGAAGCTCATTAAACATTCCTTTACTAGTGCTTCCAACAAGTAAATCAATTTGGAGTTAGAGATTTTTTACGGTAAGGTTCTGTGGACAGTCAAACTTGACTTTTTCTATCTAACAGAAAAAGATGGCTTGTGTACAACTTTTGCTGTATATCCTCACCAAGCGCATTCACTATATTCTTGAATACTTGCTTTCCAGGATTTCGATATCAAAGGTGAACGAATTATGTCCTGCGGAATGGATCATTCTCTAAAATTATGGTGTCTGGATAAAGAGGAAATGCAGGACGCCATGCAAGCTTCTTACACTTTTAATATCGCCCGATCGCGAGGCCCGTTTGATACTTTGAAAGAGCATTTTCCAGATTTCTCCACCCGAGATATTCACAGGAATTATGTCGACTGTGTACGGTGGTTTGGAGATTTTGTCTTGTCAAAGGTAATCATTTCATCTCATGTAGTTTAGTCTGTAGATAAAAAAGGTGGAAATTATTTATGTCCTCAAAAATGATTTATTCAGGGTTGCCACAGTTTGGGAATACCAGGAAAATCGGAAAATATTCTGGAAATACAAGGAAAACCGCACAATGTCGGGGAATCTCAAAAGTCAGGGAAATCCGGAAATGTCAGAAAAAGTGACAAAAGTGTCAGGGAAACATTATTAAGTCACTTTTGTTTGCTTTATGAAATGGGTTTAACGTTTTGGACAACAGATTTTGCATGAAAACTTTTTCAAACCATATCTTATTAACCATCTAGCATATCTTTAATTGTTTGTGAATATTATCAAAATGTGACAGGGAAATCAGTAAAATGTCAGAAAATTTCATTTTTCAAATTCTGTGGTAACCCTGTTCATTGAATATACCAAGATGAGAAATCAGCGATTTTTCTTTGAGAAGAAGTAGAGCAGTTGAAGAGCGAAGCAGTAGAAGTTAAAGAGCTTAGGGTACAATGCAGCAGTTTAACTCATGGTCTTTGTTTGCAAATTTAAAATTTTCCACTTAACTTTTGATTTATTATTATGAAAAAACAGGAATAATGATGCATTGGTTGGTAAAAATTTGATTTACAAAATGTGAAAACTTGTTTTCTCGGCTTAGACTCTTTTCAACTGTTGCCCAAATATTTAAAATTTCAGTCACCAGTCTAATACTACTGTGCTTCTGATGCTTTTGATTTGATTCTTTCAGTCTTGTGAAAATTGCTTGGTTTGTTGGAAGCCAGGCAAATTAGAAGATACAAAGTTGAAAAATAATGAAACGAATGTATCCATTATCCACCGATTTGAGTACAAAGATTGTGAAATATGGTTTGTCCGTTTCTCCATGGATTATAGTCAAAAAGTGAGTATATTTCAATTTTATATTTCAAGGCTGTATCATTGTAATTTACTCTCTGTTCCTAAAGCATTCACAAAGAACGATGGGCACTTTAAAAAAGCCTGAAATCCTTTCTTCAGTGCGTTAGTTGCGTGGTTTGTGATTTAGTTTTTCAAGTTTTCCGCATCCATGGGCAATTTTTCTCAGTCGCCAGCACCCAAGTTTTTCTAGAGAGAGGCATAAGAGAACCTAAACTAAGTGTATAATAATTGTGTAGACTTTTTCTCCTTTATGATATCTATTGTTTCAAACATTTATACCTCTCTGTACTTTGTTTTACAAAAAAAAAAGAGCTTTAAATCAATTGAAATCAGGTGTACGGAAGGTTTTAAGAGTTTGCAAGATGACTTATTCATTCAGGTCAAGTTTTCTTGTGTCTATGCGGGCAAACCTGATTGCTGGTGACTAAATAAAATTGCTAATAGATACAGGAAATTTGAAAAAAGTCCGCGAATACCGTGCTAGGTAGTTGATTGTTTTTTTTTGCAGTTATTATGTGCTCAATTTAGCTTTTGTGAGATTTTACCTCCAGAACGTCTATTAACTTGGCTGTATCTCCTAGACGCAACACTGCAACAGTCCCATTGATTTAATATATTTTAAAGTGGAAACAAAATTTTATTCAATTCCTTGTTCTCCCGAATGATTCAAAATTTTTTGGAAGACCATCTCAGAATTTTAGGGAAGTTTCTGAACTTCCCCTCAGGATAACTAGGTTCATAATTTGAATCAAATTATACTTTGGGGTTGAGAGATTTGCTCTCTTGAAGTATTTAAATACATCACAAAGATGAACTGATGTAGGATTGGTATCGATAAGGGCTACTTTTGGCCCTACCCTGGATTTTCTCAACTCTAGGAGTTTTTGCTCATCGGAGGTCTATAACGGAATGCGTGTTAATTCGGTCATTTCCTGTCTCCTTTTGGGTCTAATATTGTATAGACCAGAAATGACCAATTTATGGTGTTCTCTGTAAAATATAGATATTCAACAAGGAAAAACTTGTATAGTTGAGGAAATTCAAGGTTGGCCCAAAAACGGCCCTTATTAAAGTTACCACAAGCCGCTTTCTATAGGTTCTGCTTTGTCAGCGAGATGTTGGAATCCAGCCGATTTTTATTCAGGTTTTTGTTTGATCAAGTTGAGATTTTTCATTCGTATATGATCCTGTTTCAGATTTTAGCTCTTGGCAACACGATAGGTCGGTGTTTCGTATGGGATCTGGATGTAAGCAATGCCAATGAAGCCAAGTCTGTCACGCTGAGCCACCCACGGTGCACTTCAGCCATAAGGCAGACGAGTCTCAGCAGAGATGGCTCCACGCTGATATGTGTCTGTGATGATGGGACCATCTGGCGCTGGGATAAGACACTTCAGTAAAACCAGGGTCCCACTTTAGTTTAAGGTAATGCTAAAAGAAAGGAGAAGACATTTGGATTGAGTTTAGCAGAAATGCATTAAGTTTGAAAGAAGAAAAAGAGGTTTGAAATTGTATTCCTCGATAAGACTCTTAAGTTGAAGATTTTGAGACTAGGACAAAGTCTAATGATTATTTTCTTGTTCTAAATATTTTCTCTTCCCTTGGAATTTTCAACAGAAGAAAATTTACGATTATTTGACTTCAAAACTATTCCTAACTCATTTTACTTCTCCAAAATGCGTTTTGCTGTGTTTCTGATAAACTCGGTTCATTCTATTTATCTTTTTTCGCATTCTACTTTAAATATGTTGAAAAGCGATGGAAAACTTGTGCACAAACTAGCAGCATTGCAAGCCTCATACGCCCTTTTGAGGAAGAAATCCTCAAGAGAAATATGTATTAAGCCATCGATGTGCTGTAAATGTCAAATAACTTATGGGAAGGTAAACTTATTGCTTTCTTGTGTTGGTTTCCATGACAACTGTAAGTGTTATGTGCAATTCATCCAGATTCTTTCATTGAAGTAGCGCACTCTTCAATGTTAAATTAGTAGACCACCTCTACTCAGTTTATGGTTCAAAATGAACACAAATTCTCCCAAAACTTTGCCGAATAACTACCCTTAGTAAGTGTCTTAAATTGAATCACTTCCTTCATTGATTTTATTTACTTCTATTGACTGTCATTAATCATCGCGCTATTGTATGTATCAAATGTGAGTTTACCTCTTTTTCTATTTACCTTTGTCGAGGCCCAGGTATAGCTAGTTGTGAGTATTATGCTCAAAAAGCAATGCATCAAACTGCCATTAAAGTAGTTCCTAAGATTTTTTATTTTGCTATCCTAGACAAGACCTCAATAAGTCATTTAAGTGTCCCAGTTGCTCTTAATGCACTGTATTTTTCCACAGGAAGGCATGCGCCCTAGCAATTCTTACCGGATGTTTTAGGTAAAATTTGAAGAAATCATTTCAAAATTATTTTGCAAATTTTTCCTTAAATATTCTTCTGTTTAAAGAACACTATAATAGCCTTTCTGTGCTTTTGCCTAGGAAGGGAGTGTTTCTGTCTGGGTTCCTTATTGTTGCCAGCTAGTGCTGTAAAATCAGCACTTTCCCCCGTTTTAACCCTTATTAACTGTTTTTATTTCATCTCACTACCTGGCAACCATCGGGTTCTTGTCTTTTAAATTCACTAAATGATTTTTTCCTTTGTGCTGATAATCTTTTGTATATTTGTTTCAGCTCACAAAAATGTAAACTAAGACTTTGTAAGTATCAAAGACTGTACCATGAGACTTTCATGCGAGCGGTTGAAGATTTCACATTCCTGAAACCACGGGCTATTGATGGTATTGTCGTTTGGAAAATCTTCAAAGAGGTTACACATGGCGCGAATGAAATCGGCCATCAGCCATCCGCAGCTACAGAAGCTCATCTGCAGTGTCTGTTAAACGAAAATTGTAGATTAATTTTCTAAGAATCAACTATTAGCTGTAAATTAACAATTTTATTGGAGTCATAAGTCAATCAAATACTTGCACACTACGTCTGGAGAAGTATTTAAAGTTTGCCGCATACAACAGTTGCCTAGCAACTGAAAACAAAGTTAGATGGTTTTTACCCTCAAGTGTAAAGGGATAAAGATTATGGACATCTTTTCTCAAGAAACTCGTACTCAGATTATTTGTTCTAAGAACTTAAAAACCATACTACAGAACTTATACTATTTACAGGGTGATCTAAAATTTCCGCTCCACCAACATTCCTATAACTTTTGAGTGAATTGAGATAGGGACGCAAAATTTTGTTAGCATCCCCAAGGCAAGGGGAACGACTTTTAGAGACCCCCAAAACTTTAAAGGGACCACTCTGAAAGGTGGCAAGAACCTAAGGGTTGTACGGATAGTGCAGGACTTTTTGATCGATCACTGTGTATAATTCTTTGCCAAGCAAAAAAAATGTAATCTGCCCTCTTTGATTGATTATACCAACGGTCATTGCTCATGAAAAATGTGCCTTGTGCTTCTCGAAATCTTCAAGCTATAGATGATTAGAAGACATTCAATTGTATAATTAATTATTATTACAGAAAATCTGCAAGGAATGCCTTGATTGTAAATAAATTTGTAATTTTGTTTTAACCATTTCAGTACACTTTCACAATCATGATCGATTTTCAATGGTGAATCAAAAGGATTTTTTAATGACTTGTCAGATCAATTTAAGTTCACGCCAACTCTGCTGTGCTAACGATAAACGGCTTAGGAACATCTGAATGTTGATACTTTTCCTCATATGAAATATTCAGTTTTTAGGAAATTTTTGGATATTTTCTCCTGAAATTTTCAGATACTGTATATCAAACTGAGAATGAAATCATCCGAAAAAGTGGGAGAAAAATATACACAAGTTTCCCGGAAAATTCGTATTTTATCATAGGAAATGTATCAACGTCTGAAGCCTCATACAACGTTTTTCTTTAGCATGGCAAAACTGGACTTCCTCATGCAATGAAATTCTATCTTCAGACATTTTCATTTCAGAAAAACCTCTTCTGTCTATAAAATAATAAGCGCAAGATCTCTGTCAACAATCAATTACTCACTGGGGGAAAAAAATTTCTGCTCCAACATATTCAGGATGTTAAATATCTTTGCAATAACTCTGGAGTATTGACATGAACACTCTGGCTGTTCATTCAATATTGATAGAATTGAGTGTGCATATTCGAAGTTGTCGCGTCGATGTTTGACATCTCCAGAGTCAATCCAGCAAATGTGATATTTTCAATGGAGCTCTAAGAAAAACAATCCTTGAAACCTCTTGCTGTGCTATGATGTTTTTGTTGTAGTCACCAAAGAAAACATAAAAACACCAGAAAGCAAATTATGAGGGCGAAATGGACAACTCATTTTTGTTTGTGAACTGATGCTAAGTTAAAGCAAGCACTGCCGTCTATTTTATGATTCATCTAGAAAATTTACATTTTAGCACTTTCAGCTGTACAAATTTCAATTAGGTTATTTTATTGAGTCCTGATTGTACCTTGGTATCTGTTAAGTGATTTTGACCTGTACTGCCGATTGATTGTATTTTTATAAAAAATTATCTTGGTGGTTTTTTAATTCTAATCGTTATTTGTGATTAAAAGTGCGTGTGTGTGATTAATCCTTGTCCATTCATTTTTTATCTTTGATCGACCTTTTAATGAGTAGATGAGGAGTGATAGTATCAAACGATCTGATAGCGTCCTCTTCATCAACGAGAACTTTCGCTAAATTACATTTTTTAGCACAGACAAAATTTAGAAATTTCCCTGTGAATGGATCAGTGGCTTAACATTTCTACGGAGTAGCTGACAACTGTTTTCCATGTAAAATTTCGTAGAAAAATCAAAAAGTCAATTATAAAGATAAAGAAAGTAATATTAAGTGGAGAAAAAGCTGATTAAAATCTGACCAACCAAAGGCTAACAGTCCAACAAAAGACGACGTGACTATAGGCCCTGTCTTCGGCCGGGCTTCAGCCAATCTGCGACCGTTAACTTCCTCGCCTTTATACGTCATAACAGGCCACCAAAAACATCATTTCCAATGGATATAGATTTTGGAGACATTGAAATCAATTTTCTCAATCATTTCGAGTAAATAAAATTACATGAATCAAGTTGGTCAATCGAGGTTCTGCTAAACTCATTCAAGCAAGAAAACCTGAAATTGTTTTGAAATCAGCATTTTGAATGGTGGTAAAAAAAATTTGTTCCTCTTTTCTAAGGAAGTTTTTCCCCCCAGAAAAATGCAGTCAAGTAGGAGATTATAGGCACCAAGGCTCAAGGGGGGGTCTGAGAGGGCACAGAAAGATACTCATAAGNGGGGGGGGGGGGGGGGTGTCTGTGGGACTCGCCTAGTTCAATAGAAGGGTTTGGGAATTTCCGCTGCTTTAAAAGGGGTCAGGGGGCCTCCCAAAGAAAATTTTGAAAACTTTAGGCGTCCTAGAAGAAGCAATTTTGAGCTGTTCTCGCCGAAAAATTGATTGAATTATATTTTCAAAGAACAAAGATGCCTGATGTATCACGCTCTTGCCCAGCCTAATCCTTCAGATCTCTGAGTAGGGGTGACGAGATTTAAATTTCGCGGGCAAGTTACTCTGCAACGGTCGCATCAAAGTTGTAAGCGCCCGATGATTGCTGAATTTCGGCTGCACATCTCGACGAAATTTTTCGCTATGGATTTGTTTATTGTGAATGTGTCGCAAAGATTTTAATTTTTTAATTTCATGCAAGAATGAGTGTTTTAAATGTTCCGGATAGTGAAAGTGTAAAGTTTGACGAAATGGGAGACGTTTTAGGAAAGGAGTCGGAAAATTCTGTGGAAATGCCCGTCGACACGGTGCCCGAACTTTGTCACGATAACGAAGAGCCATTCGAAAACACACCGAAAAAAACATCGGAAAACTGCGAAGACAGTGTGATTTTGAATAAATTGTCTCAGCTGAATTTGGATAAAACTGAAATTGGCACGGTACGTGGAATAGCACGTCTAATCTTACATCTCATTCCTTTTTATGTGTCCTGTAGAAGAATTTCCTCTGGTTTCAGGTTAGGGCACTCAAGTTGTAGCTTCTCTTCAACTTTGACGAAAGAATGTCTTTACCAACGGACTTATCATTTGTTTAATTATATACAGAAATATTTCGAAAATCACGTAAACTTCCGTTGAGAAGTGAATTCTTCACTCAGAATGCCATGTTAACCTGGTCAGCCGCAGATGCACGCAATTCTGACAATTTGCATTGTAACATCCGATGTCTGTGTTAAGAAGACTCGGTTCTTATTGCAAGGTGATTTGCTGTGGGCCCTTTTTGTGGTTTAATTGGTGTCATATATGTTGCAACGTACAGTTAGTAGGTCTGGGCATATTTTGAGTTCAATCCGACGACAAGCACAAGCTATTATATGCCTCCTCTGCTCTGCATCAGTTTTACGAATTATTTGCATCGTGAAGATTACTGAATTCAATGAAAACAAAACAAGATAGCCATTCAAAAGTAGCGCTTGATTAAAAATTAAAAATTGCTAAGGAGCCACACCTTGTGTGAAACTAGCTATTTTTTGTAAACACATTTTGTTCTGTTCACTTCAAAACTTACAATCGTTTCTGGTGCCATGGACTTCTCAGATTCATCCTGTTAGGCTGCTGTCTTCCTTCTTTTTGTATCTAGAATTCAAAATTTGCCCAGGTTTCCACTTAGGTGATACGATGTATTGAATGCTTGTTTGATAACAATCAGAGCTTAGAATTCTCATTTTGACATCTTTTCTGTCGCCATGTTTTGTTTGGTTCTGATATGCAGCGTTTAAAATTATTTGATCAATACATATGTGCAATTCTAATCTTTGCAATAAAGTAGGTTGTATTGATCATGCACATTTTTTATGGAAGCTCAACTCAATTAATTTGTATAATTATTTTACAGGAAATCACAAATGGTTTCAATGGTGTATCAGACAGTGAAAATGAGAACGAAGTAGTTCATAAGACTGAAGAGGAAAAGGATGGAATCGAAACTGAGAAAGTCGTTGAAGCAGCATGTGACTGTCGGGTCTGCAGCCATGCAAGGTTTGTACCACTGTTTTGTCCATCTGTCTTTCAAGCTTGAGTATTTTATTTACGCAGATGCATCTCCCACACAAAATTTTTCATATAGTCATTTCTCAATTGGTGGTAGCGCAACCACCATTGAACAATTTAGGCTATCGTCACAAGCAAGGAAAATATATCCAACTAGATTTAAACTAACCAACCTTCTGACTCATTTTTGAGTTTGTTAGTCTTTCAAGGTGGAAGAAGTTTGAAGTGTAGGTACTAATAAGATTTGATACCTAGGTTCGATACTTGTTACCTACATGAAAGCTGAAACTCGTGTAGGTATGACTAAATTTTCAATATAAATACCTCGAGGACCTATTCTCTATGGACATTCTGTCTCTTGAAACTTAAGCATGAGAGTAAAATCATGCTTCAAAGATTTTACTGTGAAAGCAAAAAAATTTAGGAAACAAAGCTTCTCATGCCAGAAATCTAGTCTTGCTTATTTTCTAATAAATTGCAGCAAATTAAAAATTTTCAGAGAAATCTTCAATTGCGCATAACATGTAACTCCTAGTTAATCAATCTCTAACTCAATTTAAAAGTCTGGTATGCATTCATTTTATTTTGCATGTAGCAACGAAGACAATACAGTACAAATTTAAAAGGAAACGCATGAAAATGGTTGTTTCCTCTTGTTAGAATCCCTCTGACATTATATATTGACGGTGAAACTATCAGACAAGGTATCTTGGTTTGCAATGTCGCAGACTTCCTATCATACCTACTTTATTTTTTAAATAGAAAACTGCTGGACCTCAATTCTTGATAACTTCCATGATTTGTCTTCTTTGTGTGAAAAAAACTTTGTAAAAACTTTAAGGAATGATGATGATTTGTTCTCCCTCAAAAAATTCAAGTAAAAGTTGAGATTTTTTAAAACCGCAAATGAGATATGTGGTCTGTCACTTTCACTGTTGATATCCCAGTCTATCGGCTTTTTTCATTCATATCAGTGCGGTTTTTGAGAAGGATTCTTCAAAAAGCAGCGTTCTCAAGAGAAATTGATCCAAGAGGTGTTTTTGTTACAGATCTTCACCATTAAAAGATGCAGAAGAAATGAAGCAGCTTAGTTATTTGGAGGTTTGCAATTATGTAAGAACGGTCTACCACACCTCAACTCAAAGGATCTCAACGAACGAAAAATATCAAGATCATATGAAAAATTTTGTTAATTTGTAAGTATTCCTCGGCTTTAACAATTTGCCAATTTTAATTACTACCTTGAATAATTTTTTGATAAATGAGAAGTACCAGTGCCCACTTATGTGTAATAACAGTATTTTTGTAAATAATGCAGACAAAAATGCCGTGTCACCACATAGATATTCAATTTTCTGTTCAAACCAAATTTTATGCAGAATGGCCAAATAGATCTCAGTTTGATTTTACAGTTGAAATTGTAAGTGATTGTAATAAGAGTCGAAGATTCATTTGTATTTTCAAGCAGAACGTCTCGAGCAGCCATTGAATAAAATTCTACAAGAGTTTAATCTTCCACCATACTTAGCTGGAAAAAGTGAAAAGAACAGAGAGCAAAGAAAGAAGTTTGTTTTAGTTCATTACCAGTTTAAGTACCTACTTTAAAATCAAGGGATTCTTTGGGACCAATTCCAATGGCGACAAAAGCTAGAATCAATGACTAAATTTACTGCGAAGATAATTTTGTCATTTCAAATGGTAAACATCACTTCAAGAAGATATTTGATTTAGTGCAAACTCTCCATAAGTATCCTTTATTGGCCTATAATCATGCTGTGATGGTATCCTCCATATTTTCTCCCCCGATGTTGGGTATTGAGAGGCATTATTCTTCCTAGCACGATTTCATTGTAAGGCCAGCCACTACGCTGTAAGAGGTCAATAAAACCAACTATTAGAAGCACAGATATCTAAAAAGTTTATAATAAAATGTAGTGTCCTCGTATCATATCAAAATGAGATATTTCCAGTGAAAATATATCATTGATTGTTTTCTACCAGATTGTGTAACTTAGACCCACATGAATTATTTCACCGACTAGAAGCGCAAATTGAAGACTTCATCACGGAAATCAAGGTCAAATTGTTAGAACTTCTCAAAGAGGAAAAGCAAACCTCTGATTTGCCTAGAGTTTTCATCTCAGGTATGTCTCAAAATTTCATTTGGATGCGTCTAAAATCTAAACAAAAATGCATGCTTTCCTTCTCATTAACATTTACCTTCAAACCACAGCATAAGTGAAGTGAGTCGGGAGCTGTTCAGTCTCATTAATCGGCGGGAAAGTGTATTATAATTGGAATATTTTGAGCCCCAAACATAGAACATTCGAACTCAATCCCTCCAGCATTTTTTATAATCAAGTTTTTAGAATTGAGAACTTTAAACCATCACAACCTTGGTTGGATTTGATATCAGTTAGGAGGGACCTTATCCTCCAGGATAAAATTTTCCTCGACTTTTTGAAAACGCACGAAGGAAGAAAACCTGGGTATTTCAGCTCAAGTTTGATCCTAAAATCTCATACATTGAAGGATATTAGTCCTGATTCCTGAAGTTTCAAGGTAAGAATATTTAGGTTGTTGAGGAACAAGGCCCAAGTATTAGCAAAAATCTGAAGATTCTCCTGAAACATGAGGTCCCTTTTCCCAGATCTAGGACTTTTCAGCCAGATTTATGCCTTTAAGGTGTGATTTCAGTATCTGAAACTAGAAGATATATTTTCTAATACTATTCCATTGTCAACAGAGCTTTTGGATGGGTACAAAAAACTCATGATGGGTGCAATGAGACTAGAACCTGTTTTACACGAACTAGAATCAGTCCATCTGAGTAAATTTCAAACCACTTGGAAGATAATCAACCAGAGCATGTACTATAGCTACGTCTATTCAGATCCTGCCATCCAAAGTAATATGCCTGTATACATTTCATTGGTAAGTAATTCCATCAGTAACTTTTTCAGTTTTTAATCGTCTTGTAACCCAAAATGAGAGGTTTACAAAAACAATCCTTCCATGCTTCACGAAGTTTGTACACTAAATTAAGGATATTTTTTTACTCTGAGTCTCCTTAAAACCACCAAAAAAGGTTCAGATTTTCTCAACTCCTAAATCTGGTAAATTACTATCTGAATGCTCAGAGAAAAACGTCCGCGGAAAGTTAAGAGGAATCTCATGGACTTGATGTGGGATCTCATGAAAATTTGAAAGTTGGCCCATTTGAAAGGAACCGATGATTTCCGTTATGGTCTCTTTTTTTTGAGAACGGTCACATACAGGCAATATTTTCCTCAGTTCTTTAACTATACTCTCTATGGGGACCCTCTTTTCAAACAAGCAATTTTATGATAGGATGTAATTCGTGAATAGACTGAGGCCTCCAAAATATATTTGCACTCGTATGTTAATGGAATTTGCGTATGTAGCAGACATTTAAGGTGAAACTCAATCGGGTACAAAGAATTGAGCCTTTCATAAATATTATTTTGTGCAATAAGCGGTGAGATAATAAATTAACTGAAGATTTCTAACACATGGAACCAATGTCTTCAGGCTGATTACCCACATGTTCTTTGGATAGCACGTTTGGAAATACAGAAGTTAATTACAGCTTTATTCATAATCAAAACAAATTTTTCACCTTTGAATGTAGTTTAGATCCTATGGCATCCGAACATTTCCTCATTTCTTTGACAGTACAAAGCCTTAAAATATAAACTTAACCCTTTTTTTTATTTTGCAGCTAAGTAGTTCGTCTTCAGAAACGGCAGAAGTTGACAAGAATCTGATTAGGTTGTTCCTTAGTTTTGATGATGAGATATCTGGAGCTCTTCAAGCTTGGGCTGAAACAGAAGCCAGTATCAAAGCTTACAAGTAAGTTATGCATCCAATAGCTGTGTCAGCGTATGGACAACCTTTCACCGTAATAGTTTTGTCCTTAAAAGTTTTACCGAATGCTTAGACAGGGAGAGCTGTTGGCCCCTTTTTTTTTCTTTAATGAAGAATCTGCTTGCATAATGGTGTTTGCAGAAAAGATTTTAAATAAGTTGAGCAAATGTTGCTGCAATGTTACTGATGGCTGCAGGCAAAAGTTATGTTGAGCCAATGCATACGTAACGTTTTCAAAACTTTTTTTGGCGACCATGGCCAGGTGGAAGTTAATTGCGAAGGTAACAAACTGACTGTGTCAGTTTTATAACAGGCATTCAGTTTTATCGGCGTTGTCTTGGTGGCCAAAGCCCACCCCAGGCTGTAGCGCCATTAGTAATTGGACTGAGTTAAGCAGAAAGGAACCAACCCACATTTTGGAAAAAATTGAGTTATGAGTGGTTTTGAACTCAACCATTGCTCTACTATCTATCGCTAAAAATTCAAAGTTTTTGTTGGAGCAACTTTTGCAGAAATTGAACTTGAAGTTTATCTTTTACATTGAGTCTTATGCAGGAGCCAAACTTTAAACCTCTTTTTCTCGGTTCGATCCCGATGTGGCTTGGTTCCTTTCTGTTTAACTCCGTCCAATTGTAATGCAGTTTTAACCGACCTTAATTATTCAAGATTATAACATAAATATCATTTGTTTCCAAACTCCAATGATATGGGTATTATCTTTGGTAATTTTAATGTTGACATTGGACTAAAAGACACTTACTCTGTTAATGCTAATTTTAAGAAATTCTCACGGTTTTGCCTCGGAAACTACTTGAATTTACAATGAGCATGTGCTTCAAAACGGACTCTGTGGCTAAGATTGCCTCTGAAGCAAAAATCCTAGGATACTAAGCACTATTGTCCATCTTTTGTTAAGAAAGGCATGCAACTACTGCTCGTAATCAATTTTCACCTAGCTTTACTGCTTTTGTACTCAAACACGAGTAACTGAATTTGTACTCAAACACGAGTAACTGAATTTGTACTCAAACACGAGTAACTGAATTTGTAATATCTTAGGATTTGCTTCTTTGTCAGCATTGTATTTGCTACTGTTATTGACATTCTACCTCTTTTCTTGGCAGTGAAAGCCTGAAAGCGAAGCAGGAGACGTTAAACAAGGAATGGCATCAGTTCAAAACCAAATTGGAAGCAGCTATCTCTGATATCAAAGAGTAAGTGAAAATCATCCATCATGTTTAATGTGGATGACAGATAACAACCTACGTTTGTGAAGTTTTGCGTCAAAAATTTATCACACTTGGAAAGAACAAGTGACGACTAGACAGGGTACAAATTAAGCACCACATTTTGTTTCTTCCCCAAAATTTTGCGTAGAATATGATGGATGCATCCAAATTTTCAAAATTTAACCTATGAGTGAGGAAAAAATAGTTCTTGTCTTCATTAATTCACTGTTCCTGCCCACAAAAGAACCAGAGTCCTTTAAAGTCAAATTGGGCACCAAACGTATTTTTAGTACTTGTTGCAATGGAAGTATTATCCAGTGCCCTAACTTTTTTTTTTGACAAGATTAAAAGTACCTTACATCAGGAAGGGAAGAAAATGTAAGTGAAATAGAGTTGTAGTTCTTTATGTAGAATGTAGGTTGATTTCAATGCCTAAATTAGTCATGTTTGATAATGATTTTTCTCACTTAAATGAGTTGATTCATAATTTGTAATTTTGATAGGAAAATCAATTTAGTTAATTTAGGAAGTTTCTGGTATGTTCAACAAGTTCCGTTTGAAATTTGATGAGGGAACTTTAACCGTAGTGCTTAATTTCTTACCCTGTGCGGGTCCATTAAGAGAAAAATGTGAACATGTCCCTCTGTAGGTTGAATGGGGCAGTGGCAAAGAATTTTTGCAGGATTGTAGCGCTAATTTTTAAATGTGTGGTAAAATAATTGGGAAAAACCAAGAAGTTAATCACAAAGTTCTAAAAAGCATTTTTAAGGGGAGAAAAAGCTAATCAAAATAGGACCAATTAAAAAGCAACAGTCAAGTTGACATTGTATTGCTATACTTGAAGATGAGTCCGGCCATTCAGCAAATGCGGTTTCCCCGCCTGACTGCCTCATTAGGGCCCCGCCAAAAATATTGTGTCAAATGGGTCCTGTTTTTTGCATGATCGAAACAGGGGTTTCTTTGCCATGTAGGGTAGAAACAACTGATAAAAATTCTTAGGAACCTAGTTTCAGAAAATGAATTTGAAAAAATGGCCCATTAGCAGGAAAAATAATCATAATGATTGCTTTACATACTGCTGTGCTGAGGAAAAACCCGTACAAGCCTTTAGACGTTGCCGGATTTACTTCAATAAAAAGCGAATCTGCTTGGAACATTGCAAACATTTTTCTTTAAATTTTTCAGATAATTTTGTTCGCAGTTTGATCTAGAATATCTGAAAATTTCTAGAAGAAATATGAATAACTTTCCTCAAAAATACACGTGTTTTTTTGAGAAATTTGGCAACCCTTGAATGTTCATACGGCGTTTTTCCTTAGCAAGGCAGCATACCAGTAAGATGCATGAGTCCCTTTCTTATAGGATTAGTGGTGATGAAGGAGCTGAAATCAAAGACTTTTCAAATTCAATCGAGTCATTGGGACTGAAATCAAGTGATGATGGTAGTGAAGGCTTGGAGCAGGGTGATTTAGGCTCAGATGACTCATACAATGAAAACAGTGACTGCAGCAGTATCAGCGATGATGACTCGGATGCAGACATCGATTCCAACGGAGATGAGCAAAGTTACGAGAAAGAAGAGCTTTCGGATGATGAGGAAAGGCTCAAAGAAAGTTCGGATCAATGTGGCTCCTCGCCTGATAAGATGTGCATGTGCCAGCATAGGAAAAGTGTCACGCATCAAAGTGCGGCCAATGTAAGTAATTCAAATTTTTTATGGACACATTGTATGGATGTTATTCAAACTGAACTCGCGTGAAGCAAGGATTTGCAACTGTTAATCAATCCATCTTTTGTTTTTTAGAATAATAATTCTTCTGACTGTGTAAAAAAAAGCTCTCGCCCTTGAAAGAAGGTACACTCCACTACAGGTACGGATGAATGAGGTGCTGAAGTGGCAGTGCTGAGAATTTAGGCCATCAAGTGATGTTGCAAGTCGTACCTTCTTTGCTGCGCAGTTCAAAATGAGGTTTTGGCAGATCTGGTAGCTTCAATAAGCTATCAGATGAATTTAAAAAATTGATGAAACTCAAAATAACGAAAAACTTAACTAAGAACACGAAAAAATAACACGAAATTGACGAAACCCACTTTCAGACCAGAAAGTAATTAAGTTTTCAATATGGCGTTACAGTCGTACCATTGGACGCTGTCAAATTTACGTGTTTCAAGGACTTTCTAAAATTCCATTTGTCCATACCTGTAGTAGAGTGTACCTTGGCCCTGAAATTACTAATGAAAAATTGATTAAATTACAGATGAAAATTTTAATTACTGGTATAATTATAAAGCACCAATGAAAATTCTTGGTCCCAAAATTACCAGCCAACAACTTCATCTGAGCAGTAAGATGAAGAGCAAGTTCTTGTGGCCAACTAGTTTTAAAAGCGCTGGAACCCAGACAGACCTTTTTGATTGATACTAAAACTATTGAAAAGCCCTTAAGAAGGTATCAGTTGGGTTAAGGAAAGCTGTGAAATTGTTTATTAGTTTGAAAATGCCGCATTCTAAGGTGCCAAAAGACATCTGGTTCTCATCATAAATTACTTCAGAAAAAACCATTTTGGCCCCTGAACATTGATAAAACTGGCCAAATGGGTCAGTTGCGCTGGTCACATGATGCTTGATTCTCGTAGATTAGCTGAAAATAATGAGATCTCTCCAAACAGTAACTCTTTACATTCAACGGTAACTGAGATATTACCATTTGAAAAGTCGGGTTTTGGACATCATCCACCGCGGTAGTGAACTCCTTTTTTCACCCGACTTTTCGAAGAGCGATAGCTCGGTTAATATTGAACATAGAGAGTTGCTGTTTGGACACATCTTATTATTTTTAGCTGATCTTCGAGAATCAGGTAACAAACCACGATTTTGTGACCAGCGCAACTAACCCATTAGCCCCTAAATTTCTCACTTAAATTTGAACACTGTTGAGAAGTTTCCTCTAATGTGTGTTGTAGTGAAACTGTTTGAGATTTTAGGATTTACTGCCTTAAGACTCACTCCATCTTATTGATCCCATTACACAGTCATCAAAATTTCTTCAATCTTATTGTATTCCAGGATGTAGAAAATGAAGTGAGAACTAACACAGTAAAAGGAGCTTTTTTTCTTGTTATTTTCAAACTCCTGCAAATTGTGAAGTGGCCAAGGTTTTTATATGAATGGTACGTCTTGTAGAGGTTTTAACACTGCTTACTGGTTTTGATATTGAAAAATGTCACTTCTAGGCCCTTGAAAAAAAATTAAGTTAGTTCAGGTACTACATTACTTTAATAAGCTTTTAATTGGTAACCATAATTTTGAAATGCTGATTTTTCTTTCTGTTTTTAGATGACAAAAGTAGATTCAAAAGTTTCTAACCATTCTGCCACCGATTATCCACCTCCTGTATTCTCAGGTTTGAGACATTCTTTAATCCTTACTTAATTTTGCTGTGGAAAGAGCTGCTGCAGTATTTTTCCCTCGTCAGACGCAGGGTTCGCGAGCGGAGGGGAGCAGAGGAAAGGAATCTACCAAATACTGTCCTTGTTGAGCGTAAACCCTCGTCCTCAAGGTTTTAGGGAAATCCTCAACGATGCGCTGACAACCTAATGAGGGATTGGTGCAATACCTCGTCCACGCGTTTCCTCCGAGAGGAGGAAGAGACCCAATTCCTCGCTGCGAGGTTCTGGCTCGCTCGAACATAAGGCCAATCCCTCATTCTGGCCGGATTTCCCCAAGACTCACCCCGCCATCCCTCCGGCCTGCGTCAGGCCCAAAGTTGGGCTCTTGTTATGCGTTCGCGCCACCACTAATCTCTGTGTCCAGGAGTTTCCTAGACAGAAAGGTCTGGGCGCGCATTATTGCCGCTCGTCGATTTTAAGCAGCATGAGGGTTTCATGTCCAGGAGCCGGAGGTGAATCCCTTATCCGGAAGAAATCACACTAACGAGGGTTTGTACCAATTCCTCGTCCACGCGTTTCCTTGCGGCGGAGGAATTACCCCAATCCCTGGTCTTCGAGTTTGCGCACAGGCGAGGTTTTGCCGAGTCCTCTGCTCGCGGCCTCTGGTCAGACTTACGGAGTGATTAGGGGGTAGACTTTTCATTGAGGTTTTTTGCATTATTCTCAGTCCAAACCTTTTTTCTTTTTAAGTGTAATTTAGATAGAGCGATAGTGCAACTGGATAAAATTGTATCTTTATTCATTAGTCTAGTAATTTCCGCTTTGAATCCAATTTTAATAAGAGAACCAGTATCTCATTGCATGAAATGTTTAGAGAATTCTTTCCAATAGGTAAACGCAGGGTTTCTGGCGATTTGGAAAATCTGGAAAGTCATGGAATTTATGGCAACTTGAAGAGACCAGGAAAAGACAGTAAATTTATGGAAGAAAACAGGGAATTTTGGTAAATGAGTATCGACTCAACAACTTCAGCTGGTGCCATATGAGAGAGTGCGAAAAACATCTGAGTGTCATATTCTGTAATTGGAATCGCTGGAGGTGAAAATTTTAACTCAAGTTTAAACAAAAATCAATGCAATAAAAAGAAAGATAGAAAAAAAAACCTGGAGGGAATTTTGTTCGAAGGCCAAGGAAAGTCAGGAAAAAGTTTTAAAGAGTCAGGAAATTCTAAAAATTTGGAGTCAGGGAAAAGCAATAAAAGTCAGGAAATTGGAAAATGAAGAAATTATGTCAACCCTGTAACTAAAAATTTTAGGATTTCACGAATGAAGGTGCACAGTTCTGTTCCCTAAAAAAAAAAAAGCTATGTTGAGAAATATGCAACATGTGAAACCTACATACAGTTTTTCTGTCTCCCCATCCATAACATCAGGATTGTTTCTTGGGAATGCATGAAAGTTTGACATCCTATGTGAGCCATAGCCTTGCTGAAATAACTGTGAAATTGTAAGCATGTTCATCTACCACAAGGTGTCTACCATCAGTACAAACCGGAAAATATCAGGGAATTCTGTCATGGCTCTGAAAATTATTAGTGCGTCCAGCATTTTTCAACTAGAGTCCATGCCAAATAATTTTACACACTTTTAGACTGCAACAGAAGATCTGCTATCTTGATTCTTCCATTTACTTTACAAGTAAAAGGGACGTTCGGCGATCTTCTGTCACAGTCTGGAAGTGCGTAAACGCATTGGGCAAGGATTCTGCATGCAGTTTAGCACATGAGAAAGTGAAACATTTGATTCGATTCATCAAATGTGTTGGTTCAAAAAATCAAACAAGTGTCATTTTGTTCTTGCACGAAAAAATAGAATTCCATTTAAAATATCAGGAAAAAATCAGAAAAATCCAAAATAAAATTTTAGCAGGCAACCTGTGTTATCATGAATACTTCTGCTCTCAAGGAAACCTAATTATTCAATGTCTTAATATTATCTTGCATTTTAGCAGTGGCACAGTCGCGCGACAAGGAGGCGCAACTGTGCACTGAGGCCGCTCCACCGTACTCAGAAGCGGCACCTCCGTACTCGGAACCTGCCCCACCGTACTCGGAAACAGTGACTCCTGGTCAGAATCCGACTTCCGCTCCTGCACCAGCGTCAGCTCAACCTCGACCTCCAGCCAAAGTTGCAGTGCCTCCCAATAAAAGCCATCCACAAGGTGCTCTTCATTCTAGTAACTTATCTCCAGTTTTAGTGATTTAATGAAAATGATACCGAAAGTTGCCATGGCAAGATGAGGTGTAAACATGTTTGATAATAAAGTATAAAATTTTACAAGGAGCTAGACACATCAGAATCTGAAGGGGGGGGGGGTGTCACCAACTTTTCAAGATGCTAGGTTCGATGAATGCCTCTTACTTTTCTAAGCTGAAGCTAATTATTCTGACGCATTTTATGCATAGCCCCCAATGCAGTTATCAAAATCACTCAGGATGAGGAAAATGATCTAAAGATGTAGCTCAGTCACCTAGTTCTTTTTACATAATTCTGTATCAGGAATTACTGCGTAGGAGATAGAGAAGTAAGTATGAAGTGTAATGAAGACCTCATTAATTGATTGATAATTATCAATGGTTAATGTCCTCCTCTAAATTTAGTTTCAAAATTTGTTAATCAGGTCACCTGTGTCACAAACATGTGGGTCGTTCTATTGAAGAAGAAGACACTTGCGCTGAACATGCAGCCTGCAACAAGCGAGATTCCCGTCAGTGTAGTTGTTGTTACTGTGAAGTATTCGGCCATGCAATGGTGAGCATTTTCTACTGCCCTCTTGTTTTTAACCTTTGAGGCCAGGCTGTCTGCAGGTTTGAAAACCTGGAAATGGAGAATTGTCTAGGAATTTTATGGAAAAGATGGAATTTTAAAAAAGCTCGAAACTCTAAATCTAAAAATAATATCACCATTGTCATACTGAGTTTCAGTCTGGCTCGCTGTGAGGTAACACTCAACATAGTAAGTAGAGGAATAATTTTTAACAAGAAATCACAATTATAGTTTATATTATGATTAATACCTGAGGAATAAAAGCTTTTTGTCTTTTGGCAATGGAATCAACGCCAAACTTTTTTTTTTTTTTAAGATCTATGTGTGCAAATTGTCAATGCAAAAAGTCATGGAATTTTGATCATTTTGGTCAGCCAAAACCTAGGGTTGCGGTCGATCTGGAAAACCAGGAAGGTCAGGGAGTTTGTGGTGACCAGGAAAAGTCAGAGAATTTAGTTAGTACTTAGAACTTAGTAGAGTGCGTTTAGCAGAAGTGGGGGGAGGGGGGTGAGGGGTGAGGGTCGAAAGGGAAAAAATCAAAGTGGAAGTTTTGTTTGAATGTCAGAGAAAGTCCGGGAATCTGAAAATTTTGAAGTCAGGGAAGAGCAAAAATAGTCAAGGAAAAATCAGGAACTTTGAGGACGAAGAAAGTATGGCAACGCCTGATGGCTCATACAGCGTTCTTCCTTAGCACAGTAGTGTTGACCTCCAAATTTAACTTTTGCCTCTCTCACTTACATTGCTTAGATTGTTAGTGCGGGGTCTCTTAAGTGTGCTGTCTTCGTTTGGAATATTTGAACCAAGATCCAATTCATTGGTATTTTTACTGCTTTTGAGGTAGGTGGGTTATTCATGTCATGATGGGTAACATAGTAATTGATTTTCCATGGTACTCAATAGAGATGAAGAAGGTAAGATGAAATGGGACTATTGCGGAAATTTCTTATGATTCATTCATTTTCACTCCTCTTTCCAGACGTCTGTGGCTCCGGTCAGTAGAAATTATCAAGAGATACGTGATAGATTAAGGTTCCTACTCAACAAAAAGAAGAAATCCAAATCAGCCCCAGCTAATAGTAAGTATATTCCGCCCTCCTCATTAACTTATGATTTAGTTTGACCCTGCCTCACCTTATTTTAAGTTCAGTTGTTCGATGGAACGCAAATACTGTAACAAAGCAATGAATAATTGGCTTGCATTTAGCAAAAAGGAACCAGCGCGATTACAGTGTTGTAAAAATGTTGTTGTTTCCTCATAATTATCAAAAAAATCTCTCAGATCAGCAAATATTTTTGTGCTTCCCACCTAAAAATTGTTAATTTTAAAGGAAAATAACTGTGTAAATTCTAGTGCTGTACATATATTGAGTATTTTTAAAGGAAAGAAGAAGTTGCATCATTTTGAAAACACTGTAATCGTGCTGGTTCCTTTTTGCAAAATGTGATCCAATCGTATAAAATGAGTTTTAGGTTGGTCATAACACTTTTGTAAACAAAGACAAGAATACAGTTTATGGTAGAATCATCAAAACTTTGTGAACATTAAAGGCTAGTCCATCAACGGCTCCGTTAGTGCAGTGAGGAAGGGCTTAGAGCCGCTGCTTTAAGTCAATGGGTTAATGTCAGAAAGAAGCAGTGAATATCAGTTCATTACTAAGTGAGAAAAGTTTATTATTAAGTATTGTTGAAGAACGAAGAGGATTCCATGTCAACATTGTGTTTTTTGTTTTTAGATAAAGCCAAACAGCAGCCAGCAAAGCAGCAGAATCAACCGGCCGCCAATAAGCAGAGTCCTAAGGAAGAAGTTAAAGACCCGCGTGATTTAAATGACTTGCTCAGTTTTATCGAAGGCGAGGCACGCATGTCCAAAAGTGCCGCAAAGAAAGCAGCTCGCAAAGAGTATCTTGAAAGGAAAAAGGTAATCTAATAAAAATTTAACACAAATGAACCTTGTCAGATTATACTCTGTAATGTAACATCTTGTTGGAATTTTAGCTCCAAGCCGTTTTTCAAAGGAAAATTGACAATTGAAGAATGGAATTTCAAAACCACTCAAACACTACCTGATGTTGCTTAGATTGTGTATAGTAACCCATCCAAGATTTTGAATTCATTTGCTTTGTGGGCTATTCATTACAAAACTCAAATTTTAGTCTCATCGTGGGGGAAGAATTAGACACCAGATTGCCATTAAATGAGAGAGATTGTTAGACAAGCTTAGCATTTGTCCTATGGTGCTCAAGATTAATCAATGTGAGTGAGGAATCAAACAGAAATATAGAACAAATTTTGTTAATATGCCGGTCTCATTTTAACTTTACGCAAAGACTGAACCACTGCGTCTAGTATCACATTTCAGCTGTCTACTCCCAAGAAACATTTTTAAGGTAAATCAAACTGAAGCTTTAAGTATTTGAACATGAAATACATATTACATTTGTTTAGTCAGATTTAACGACTAATTTTCTAATTTGAATACCCTTGACTTTAATTGAGGGTTTTAAAGCAGCTTTCTCAAGAATAGATACTTAGAATGAGTTTCCCCCCGCAATGGTCTTGGATTTTTTGCTAAATTAAAAGTCCAACCAGTATCTTTCCTGAATATATTTGAAATCTGGATTTTTCTTCACTTCTCTTATCAATGATGGGTACAAATAGTTCTCAAGCGGCTGGTCAAGACAAAATTGTGGGCTCGTCCCAAAAATGTGTACTCTCTCATAGTTTTTTTTACCATTTTTACGATTCAACAATTTGTGCTGGTTTCAAAATGAAAATTACACATCAACTGCAAAATTTGACTAGATTTTATTCAGCATGCTGTGTTGATCTTTTTATAGAACCTGTGGTACGTCCCAGGAAATGGTCGAAGCCTCTTTGGAAATTACGAAGGTCTAGAACCATTTGCTCTCCTGCTAAAGATTCACTTCAAGTTGTCATGCATTTGTACCATTCAGATTTTTCTTCTTTTAAAAAGGATAAAGTGAATTAAAACATTAAAAAAAAGTAATCTGGTAATCCTGTAATTTTTTCCTGTAAGGTTGTATGAAGAGAAGAATTCTCGTTGTTTTACAGCTGATGAGCATTCGTCAACGTAAAACACCCTGACGTTCTGAACTTGTAATAAATATGCGACATACCATCTTGCTGAAGTGGAAAGACCTATCTAATTTATACAGAAAATATGAAATGAGCACACGGAGTCATTGAAGTGGCAGTTTTCATCTTTTGAAATATTTCACGGTTTCATTACGTAGTCTCGGTTTAACTTTTTCTCTTTTCACAGCAAGAAGAAATTGAACGCAAGAGGCGAGAGGAAGAAGCTGCAGAGCGCAGACGACTAGCAGAAGAAAGGCGAAAGGCTGAAGAGGAGGAAGAGCGACGGCGTATGGAAGAAATTGAGGCGCGTCGGAAAGCAAAAAGCAAGGAGAAGAAGAAACGGCACAAAGAGAAGATGCGACAGCGTCAGGCTGAGGAGGCGGCAGCCGCAGCGGCTGCTGCTCTTGAGGCCAAAGAGCGAGGTAACCAAAAAGGGAAGAAGAGCAGCAAAAAGAATAGTACAACCACAGCAAGCAACGCCAAAAATACTGCCACTTCAAACGCTGGCGTTAAAACGAATAAAATAAGTCTCAGTGCTGCTTTGAGTAAACTAAGTCTCAAGGAGGACGACAAGAAGGAGCCACAGATTGTGACAATCAAGAGGGTCATGGAGTCGAATGGGGCTGAACCTACTGTTACCATCACGCTCAGAGGCGCCACTCACAATGAGGACAAAGTTTTGTATACCCTCTTCAATGGGCAAGGTAATTTTAATTGTATTTATCTGTAACCGTAATACCTTTCAGTAGATTTTGCGACAGCTGGAAAGGCAAATCATATGTAGAGTCCATGTCAAATAAGTTTACCCACTTTAAGACTGCAACAGAAGATCATCTGACGTCATTTTTGCATGGAAAGTAAATGGGAGAAGAAGGATGAGAGATCTTTTGTTGCAGTCTAGAACTGTAATTGTAATTGGCCTGGACTCTATTTTCATTGGAAGAAAACTTGTTTAACTGTTTGATGTCGTTAATATCCAAACACTTTATGTTAGTATGGCTAATGAAAGGACTTGTTGCGTTTTTTTTTTTTTTTTTCATAAATTACTCTTCAAAAAGAATTCAGCGTCTTGTGGAAAAGTTAATTAATCCAAACGTCTTACTTTTCCATCTTGTTCATAAAATAGAGAAAGTACAAGAAATCCACTCTCAAAATCTGCAAAATTCATTCCTTTAAGTTTAGTTTTTGTTAGAGAAAAAAAAAAAAAAAAAAAAAAAAAAAAAAAAAACTGGCAAACAGATTCATACAAAATGTTCCTTAATTTAAACGTCTTACTTTTCCATCTTGTTCATAAAATAGAGAAAGTACAAGAAATCCACTCTCAAAATCTGCAAAATTCATTCCTTTAAGTTTAGTTTTTGTTAAAAAAAAAAAAAAAAAAAAAAAAAAAAAAAAAAAAAAAAAAAAAAAAAAAGAACTGGCAAACAGATTCATACTAAATGTTCCTTAATTTACCGTTCCATCGATAAAAAAGTTGAGAAAATTCCAAACGAATGTAATCACTGTTTTTTGCATCACAAAGTGAAATGTTGTAAGGAATATTTGTTAAAACGGTAAAGCTCAGTTGCCCTTCTTAGGGTTGAATTGAAGGTTGTTCTTACATTTTATCCTTTTGCCTGTACTAGTCTAATAGTTTTTAAAACCATGGTTTCTTTTTTGTTTCTAGTGCGACCACTGAAGAATGAAAACTCCAACAAGACTAGTAACTCCAATGCCACCAATAACTCCAAGAAGAAAAATAATAAAAATAAACCTGAACCTAACGTTAATACCAAACAAGGTAAAAATAGCAATTCTAAAACCAGTAAAACAGATAACTCAACTAATTTAAGTAGGTCTATCAATGTAGATAAGAAAAACAACATTGTCACTCTAACACGAACGTCGAACAATGATGTGAGGGTGAAGATGCAGCCACCCAATAATAGTAGTTACTCTCCGTTTCAAAATAGTTCCATGCAGGGAAATACATACCCTCCTAATGGATACCCTCCAAATAACAGGTACCCGGCCAACAATGGGTATCCCCAAAACAACGGTTATCCTGCCAATAATGGTTACCCCTCGAATAATGGATTCCCAATGAGTAATGGGTATCCCCAAAGTAACGGATTCCCCGGTGGATTCCCTGTTAGCAATGGATTTCCTACAAACGGTTTCCCACAAAGTAATGGGTTTCCACCAAATAATAGTTTCTTCAACAATGTGACGCTTACAAGGAACTCACCACAGGCGCCAAGTGGGTACATGCCAAACTCTGAGCCAGCGTTCAAACCACCCTCTCTTCCGCTGCCATTCAAGAGGTCCTCCGTAGTCCTGCCTGAACCTGAATTGACCTCTCCTACGGCCATCCAAATTAATAATGCAATCAACAAATTGGCCCAGCCACACAACGGAAGTTTTGATCTTGAGAATTTGAAACTGCCGCCTGGAATAACCATTACGAAGGTTAACCCTGCCACTATCGAAGAAAGGAGGCCTTTACAGGTAAATTTTCCAGTATTTTACTATTTTTCTCCCATTATACTCTATCATTCAAATACTATTGTCTTTTGTGTGACTTGTTTTAGTTGATTCCAAAAGTTTTGTAGAGTGCATCGTGGTGCACTGATGAGCTGGTTCTTCTGATTCAGTTGCCTATTTTATTTCCAATAATTTAAAATGAATAGATCCATATATTGATTATGAGGTATGCTTAACATTCAGTGTGACAAACTATGACAGATTTTATAGATTGCTTGAAGTTTTTACGATAGTCTTCCCACTTGACAACTGTAGCATCTTTCTTTTAGGTTTATTCTCAAGTTAACAAGTTTTAAATAGCTGGTTAGAGCTAGAGATTCATGGAAAACAAGTCTTAGCAATGATTGAAGCTCAAGTAATCACTCAAATTTTACAAAATTATCAGTTTTCAAATTTCGAAGTCAAAGATTTAGGAAGTAAATGAGAAAATGAATGTAAGATTCCCTGAATAAGTTCAGACTATGAATTCAGGCAACTCCTAATTTTGCTCTTCCCATAATGCAAGTTTTGTTGAAATGAACATCGTAAATGTAAATAGAATCGTCTCTTTGTTTTGTTTCATCATTATTTTCATATATTTATTATTTTATTTCAGTCTCGACAGCAGCAACAGCAGCAGCAGCAGCAACAACATGAGCAGCAACAACAACAACAGCAACATCATCAACAACAACAGTTCCAACAGCAGAACTATCACCAGCAAGAACGTTATGATCAACAACACATGTATGGTGGCCAGCCTTCGTCCTCCAACGTAATTGTTGTAGATACGGGTAAACTCCAAGCCTCAAAACAGTTCATCGATAGATCAGGTAATATATCAAAGAACAAATTAAGTTTGAAGGTATATTAAATATTTACCCTCGTAGAAACTCCAAACTCTTTATTTTCTTTTTTCTTTAGTTTTTTTTTTGCTGTGGTCTTTATTTTCTGTTTTTTGTTGGGTTTTTCTAATACTTTGTAATGATTATGAGAGTATCCAAAAACCCAAAATTTGTCTGTAACTTTGCTATGGCTAGTATTTTGAGCTGCGTTGCTAAAAGATGCAACTAGAAACTATACCGAGCCTCTTGGCCAAATTACAAGGTTGCAGTATGTTCAGTTATATTTCGTTGAGACTTTGCGAAAGTGATATCTGACTGCATCCTTTGGGAGATGGATGACTCTCATGAGTCCAAGTTTTTTTTCCCTCTCAAGACAAACACGGCTGATACTGTTGATTCTATATGTCTTTGTACGTACTGCCTCATCAAAAGAAAAACATTTTTCATCAAAAACTCAAACAGCCCACCAAAAATATCATTTCAAGTGAATCCCATTTCTGACATTTTCAAAACTGGGTTTTCGTGCCATTCAGGGTGAAAAAGAAATCTAATAAAATTCTGAAAGAGGATTTTGGTGCTTGGGCCCTCAAGAAAAATTGTGGTTTAATTTAAGAATAACCCTTTGAGACCCTGCAGAGAGCATGCTAAAAAGTATCCTAATTTTTCACTCTATGATTTACAGATATCAGTTGTGAAAGTATTAGTAATAGTGCCAAGCGAAGGCGAAGGAAGAAGAAAAACGCAGAAAGCTCATTGAACATGCCGATGAGCCAGTCACTCAGTAGTAGCAAACTAGGGCCAAAAGATCTTGCAAAAAACTCTCAAGCAGCCATCATCAAAGTAAACGGCTCCATGGTGACAATCAGAAGTCCAGCACTGCAGCAAGCGCTTGATTCGCAAAACCCTCACTCCGTAGATCAGAGTAAAAAGAAGAAAAATAAGAAGAAGAAAACAGTACCGGGACAAAGGCCCAAAGAAGAATGGAATCTAGGTGAGTTTCTTTCTGTTCATCATGTCGAGCAAACTAGTACAAAACGTTTCCAGAGTGCAACTTTTTTTGTGCAAAAGCTAAGAAAATTGAGATTGTGGAGTGATTTACTCAAGTTATTAGATAGGAACTAACCAGTAGTAACGTCGCAGTGCTGTAAAATCAACTGTCTGGAAGAGCCACGGCAAGTTATTAACATGCAGAATTTGGGGGAAAATTTTTTTTTTTCAGTCTTGTAACTTGTAAACTTAGGGACACATCTAAGAATCAAAACTTCAAATGTGATTTTCTTGGAAGTATATTTCTATATTTCCTGCAATAGATGATCATTCCAGAATTGACCCAATTTTAAGCTTGCTCATGTATACTAACACATTGAATGCCGTCACACCACTCTATGAATTGATTAAATTTTTATTTTTTTTCTTATTTGATTATCTCTCCGAAAAAATCATTCCACAACAGAAAAATAACTGTGGCACAGTATAAAATATCCGCACCGAATTTTAATGTACATTCTATAATTTTGAAGCAATCATTAAAGCCATTCTGAGAGGGTTCCCCCTCCCCTTTCAACCCAGATTGACCAAAGGGGGTCAGTTGTCAAATATTGTCAACTTATGGACCAAGCCATGAGAGGTGCTCATCGTGCGGTGGCCCTAAACAGGGCCGTTGGAAAGGGGCAAGCCGGCCGGCTGCATGTGCTCCGCTAGGTGCTGTGCGACGTGAGTCCCGTGTGACTAACAGGCGCGGAGTGAGCTGAGAGATGAGCTCGCAGTTAGATATAGCCGTGACAGTGTCGGGCTACAGCCAATGAGCTGCGCTGGTTGGAGAAATGGTGGCTAGCCGCCACAAACTATACACAAACTGATTGCGGTGGACACACAAGTCGTAAGATGGTATGTTGGAGTTTTTTAACCAACATGGGTTAAAATCAGCATAAAGCTGATATCTCACTGCAGAGGAAAAGAACTCACACACGAGTACAATTTTTCCTCAAAGAAAGCTCTGTGAGCTCTTTTCTTCTGTAGTGAGGTATCAGCTTTATGTTGAATTTAACGCACGTTGGCTAAAAAACCACAACATATTGTCAACTATCCTAATAAATGACAGACCTGTGAGTGACGATCTTGTTAGGTAAACAATTTTTCCTACAAGGGATGTATCCCAACTCCCCTACCCTGTGGGATAGTTGATCGATAATATATGCCATTTTTCAGATTCACGTTTTTTTAAAATAAAAATTGAATTTGGTGAACTACTATGTTCTTTTTACGTCTGCACTATCAACATGATAACAAATCAAATATTCCTTTCCTTTTCCTAGACAACATCTTTGCCCCGAAGGACATCGACCTTGAGAATGGGGACATAGACGATGACGAAAAAGAATTAGAAGCATTCAAAAGGTTTTGTCTCCAGTCAGTACCCCCCGAAAGGAAAAAGAAGGTGCACCTGAACATCAAGGACATTGTGATGAAGAAAAAAGGCCCGCCCATCAGCTGCAACTAAGCTTGCACCGCTGAATTAGTCAAAGAATTTAATGATACTTTCCTGGAGTCAGTTCCTTAGCGCACTGATAGCTCAGTCTTCTTTTTGTGTCTTTGTCTTGGAATGTTATTGCAGCAAAATTTAATGTAAGATCTGTGTGCTTTCAATTAGATGGATTAACCAGCAGCCTAATTTTTGAAATGTCGTGTTTGTTGACGGGATTAAACAAGTTTATGGAGAATGAAGTTATGTGATTGGTTGGTGCTCTGACTTGTGCGTCTTGTCCTGCTGATGAAGAGTAATCGATGAGAAGCTAAAAGCACCTCTTGAGTTGCCGATACTTTATCCATCCTTTTCAATCCCATTCTTTATTGGCACGACGAGACATTTATTGGCACGACGGGACATACAACTCCGAACACTGATTAAGCTTGTAACTCCTCTTTCCTAAATCTTGTCTTAACCTGTGGACAAACACAAAATTTCAACGATCAGGCTGCAGAGCCTTATTATGGTGACAGGCTCCTCATCAGAGGTACTGCTCCTCTCTTTGCATCTGGAAACTTTCCTCAGACATCTGGTTTCTTGTTTGCCCCCTACATATTCAAATTTGTCAAGGGAATATCCGCAAAAACTTCAAACTATCCTGTAGCAATCTGGTAGGTTATGAATAACAACTTTTGCCACAGATTCTAGCTGTTTCTGGGAGTTGTCTTTTATTATCAACTAAATTAACGCTTTTGGCTATTTATTTTTCACCCTCTCTTTTTGGTAATTTTAAGATTAGAAACTTAGGGAAAGGCCTTAAATGAGAGCCTCAGAAAATGGCTTCCCAAGCAGTTCACTGTGATTTTAATGTTTTAAATGATTTTTAGAAACCATGTAATCTACTTTGTGTGTTTTCAATGTTGAAAAGGACTTTTTGTTTGATTCAAGTTTTATCTTTAATATTGTCCTGTCTACAAATTTTACTAGACCTGTTACAGTCTTTTTGGTGGCTTTAAGTTAGTCTACTAAGGTTTCAAAAGAATTCAGTTTACAAAGGCTAGGAATGATAGGAAGTCATAGTTCTGTTGTCGTCCCAGCTGAGATTACCTATTTTATCCCTTCTACATATCCACCCTGTTAAAGTCTCTACTTTTCACGAAAAACAGTTGTTACTCTGTCTGAGTTTTGCTGTGCTCTCATTATCTCAAGATATATAATATAGTCTCCTGTAATCTGCTTACCGGTGGATATTTTTTGTCATGATCTCGCTTAGAGAGTTTTGAGATTTTCTTGCTCTGATTGGGGGATTTGGAAGCATTTATCATGTAAATTGAAATCTAAGAACAAGTAAATGTATTCGTTCAGATTAAGTCAATTACCAATTTTTATTCTGGAATGCAAGCCTTATCAATTTTTCACCCATATAATTAGAGGGATGTATCTTTACACACTGGAACAATTTCATCAGTTTTTTTGTTTTCTTACACCTTCATGAAGTTCTGACTAAATGATGGGACAGTGTAATGACTGCGTAACATGGAGTTTAATGTTGATAGGCCACAAATGTTCATCAACTCAATTAAAACTGAGTAAAGAAAACACTTGTTTAATATGACTCCTGGCCTTTATTAATTTCGTTCATTCAGTCGAAACATCATGCACTATAAAATCTGACAGCTGTAAGATCTGACTAATTGTACGACTGTCTCATATTCCAAGATGGGAACACGCTGACAGTTCTACCACTATACCTATTTTTATTTTTGGCACTTTTCTTGTGGGTTTGGTGAAAATTGCACATTTTTAATGGAGAGTTTCACCGATTTCGAGCTTACTTTCATTATTCTCAGTTTGAGAGTCCTCCACAATGGGGATTTTAAGTTGGTGGTTCTAAAGTGACGGCACCCAGATAGTTGGTGTACATAAAGGTTGATTTTTATTCCTCTAGCTGGGCATTAACTGTACATTTTCTCCTGGCCAAAATCGATTTACTATCGCAAACCAGGTACCTCTCTGTGATTTTAAGATGGTTTCTATGAAACTTTCAATGTGTTATTTCACCGTCACTTTGTGCAGAAGAATTTTTGAACAAAGTAATTAATACTGAATTGAAAAACACAAAGGAGTGCGTCCAAGTACTCTAAAAAAGAAGCAGTGTGAATTTTAACGTGATGTCTTTGCACTTTGTAAATACTGCTCTTTTTTTAAATCATTACTACGTAATTTTTACCTCTGTTTTCCTCAACTGCTATGACTATGTTGCTGTATTCATTTATTGTTAAGTTTCTAGTATTATGGTAAGTTTAAATTTTTCTAGCTTTTGGGATCTAACTTCTTAAGAAACTTGTGTCCTAGTTGTAAATAGACTATTTCAGAAAACATCTATGTCTCATGATTTCGCCATTGATCCCTTTATTGAGTCAACAACATGCTTTAAATTTGGAGAAAATAATTATAAGTGGAATGCTGAGCAGACCTCAAAATATTTCGGAGATTTCATCTGAATGTTTTTCTTCTTTTACGTATACATTCATTTACTTACACCAGCAACAAAGACAAGCTAATCAAGTAGTATCAAAGTAAGCAAGTGCGTTTCCATGTTGCAAAGATTGTATCGAATTTTCTTCATCTTTTCTTTTTCGCTGTACCCATGTTGGTTACAGCAGGAAAAATCATGCAGGTAAATTGAACGTATTTCTGTCAAACGGAACTATGTGCATTATGACGTGAGCCCTGTTATGCATATATTCTTATGGGTATCAGAGCTCATGTCTTAATGCACATAGTTCCGTTCGATAGAAATACGTCCAATTGGAAAGGAGCAGAGAGGCCCTCTTTGCAAGTGCTTAAAAGATGATGTTCTGTTTGAGCAATATTAAAGAGCCAAGTATTTTTGCGTAAACTTACCCATTTGACAGTTACCTGATGAAAAATTTATAAATTCTAGAAGCATGTATTCTATTGTTTTAGTGTATACAAGCACTGGCAAGGCAGGAGGGCATTCAATAGGAAAGAGCACCTGAACTTTTTTCTATTAGCTCTACAAAGCCGCTGAAGCCAAGTGGCATGAAACAGAAGAACCTCATATTCGATGGGTTCACATTGCAACTTAGGGTTCATAGCAGAGTCTTCATTATATAAAACTTAATAAAAAATGATGATCCACTCAGTAATACGAAAGCCGTGTCCAACTTCAAAAGTGACTCAATAATCATTCAACCGGCCCTGAGCCCCCCCCCCCNTCCATATAAGCCAGGATCAACACTCCTGAATAACACTATTTGTCTGTCTCCTTGTTTGTGGAAAGTGAGGAGTTAATTGCGAAGGATTAACTAGGAAACCTTTTAATTCGCTTGTATTTAGCTTTTCACCTGCCTCTGTCAATTACTGACGTCTATGAATGTACGTAGGTAACCTATGCCTCGCATCGTTGCGGAAACTAAGCGCGCAACCATTTGAACTCCGCAGTAGGTATGCAGTGTGGTATCGAGCAAAATTGAAGGAAATCTTAGCTTTTGGCTGGCCACTTCGACGTGTAGATGAATATTGTGCTCTCATCGCGCAATGTTATCAAAATCGCGTAGTTTCCACTATTCAGGTAAAAATCCATTATAATTGTCGTGTTTTTCAGTATCGCCGTAACATTTGCATATTTGCAGCGATGTTTACGTAAAAATTGCGCAGTAATTTCAATGCATCGCACATTTCTCGCGATATCGAGATTAAAATCCACGAACGCTACCATTCGAACTCCGGAGTCAGTATGCAGTGTGGTATCACGCGAAAATGAAGGAAATCTCCAGAAATATCGTATGATGAAATACGCCATATTTCTAGCGCCTTTGCAATTAGGTGCAAAATTACAACGCAATTTCACGTAAATATCGCAAATGAGCGGCTTTTTACAGCGATTTCGAAGAAACGCAAAAATTGAACGATTTTTACCTCAAGGACGCGAGAAATATACGTTCTTGATACGATGCGAGCTTAATATTTATACACGCTAAGTAAAGGGCCGTCCAATTAAATTACGCAAGCCTCTTAGGAGAGGAGGGGGGGTCCCTAATAGCCTTACGGTACCTTACGAGGAGGGGGGGGGTTAGGGCTGAGCCTTATGTAAGTTTTCCAGCCTATATTTAAAGAAAAAGCAAAACGCATTTTTTCGTCCGGTTGCGATAATAAAATTCAAGATGAAATAAGAGGAAATCAGCTCTCATCACCGATTGATGATCGTTCGGACCATGCTCCCGTCATCCCTTCTGAGTCCCACTTCTCTTCTCCGTGGGATGATTAGTAGTGACTTCATCCTTACGTCAACTTCATACTTTCGACTATTCCAAAGACAAAAAAATCTTCAATTTTGCTCCATCTGTTTTTGTTTATTAGTATCACCATATATAATTCCGTAAGCCTTTTCTTTGCGTCAAAATTCAGCGCGAACCGCCGGGCCGATCCGTGCGCGGGAGGTACCGGCTCGACCGTCCCGGTAGAATCAACTACAGGTATTATGCGTAGGAGGTCAAAACGCCTTCAATTTTTTGAACGCAATACGGACATCCGTCGAGGTTGTATAGTTGTATCAAGGCGCCGTAGCAAACGCGTCCCATTGTTTCTCGTTACATACGAATATAAGTTGAGAGAGGCCAGTCATAATGCCTTCAATTTTATACATACATATTTTTGGGCAAAATGAGAGACGATGGTTTCTCCTTTTGCGACGTTGCAGACTTCCTCAGAAATTTTATTTTTCTTTCGAGAAGCTGGTCAACATAAAACTTAAATTCTCCATGATTTTTCGTATTCGATAGCAGAAGATTTGGTTCAAAATTTTTTATATGCTTTGGAAGCAGACAGAGATGCAAAAGCCATACAACTGTTGTACCTAAAAATGTTGCTCATGAAAATGGGTTTGGAGAAGAGGTCGCGAAGTTGGTCATTGATTCCAGGCTTGGCAAGTCTTACAACATCTGTTAAAATGACCGTTCACCTCCTCTATTTTGAAACGCAAGGCATCACAATAGTGGCACTTCACACTTAAAAGTCTGAAATTATTTTCTGGAATATTTTAATTTTCCAGATAATAAATTTAAATTGTTAATAAATGATGATAAATTCAAAATTCCAATTTCAATTTTCAAAATTTCAGAGCATGTTATATCTTCTTTCAAAATTTATTGTCAATTCAAGTTGCTATTCAATTATAATAAATAACTTGAACGTGGTTGTTCTATGATTTCTTACGAGCAGTTCCCTTCAGTGTTTAGCGGCCGCGTAGCGGCCTCAGGCCCCTAGTCATTAATATTTCCCTTTGAACTTAATTCAAAAATTTAGTTTCACCGATAAAAAATTTTGCCTCAAAATTTCATTGTTTTTCTAGAAGAAAACGTACCTAATGCTTAAATCTGCGATACTTGAAAAAAAGAGGGGGGGGGGGAGTCAGTCGAGCCTTACGTAATTTTTAGAGGGGGAGTGAGGGATGACTTACGAAGGGGGTCTTACGAGGGGGGAGGGGGCTCTAAAAATTGGAAAAAGTGCCTAGAACGTAATTCATGGATGGCCCCTAATTTGTGACAAGCGTAAAGCTAAGACTTCCTTCATTTTTGCGTGATACTACAGTACATACCTAAGTACTCCAGAGTTCGAATAGCAGCGCGCTTGGATTTCAATTTAAAAATCGCAAAGAAACCTTCGTAATTTAGGATAGGAGAAAAGCTGAGGATTTCCTTCCACTTCGCTTGATTTTACACCACGCACCTAGCACACTTCCTCTGGTGTTCGAATAGTTGCGCACTTGAATTTCAATCTCAATATCGCGGGAAATGCGCGAAGGTTTTTTTGAAAAAGTGAGAAATTACCACGCAATTTTTACCTAAAAATTGCTGCAAGCACGCAACTTTTACAGCGATTTTGAAAAGGAAACGAAGATATAATGGATTTTCGCCCTTTTCGTGGAAAATGCAGGAATTTCGCCTTCATGTCGCGGAAAATACGCGATTTTGATAATGATGGCCGATGGGAGCATCCGAAATTTGAGACACACAAAATGCTAAAATTTTCCTTCATTTTTGCGCGATACCACACTACATATCTAATCCAGACTCCGGAGCGCGCAATCATTGGATGCTTAGTTTCGGCATAACGATGCGAGCATAGGTAGTACCTACATTCATAACCTTCAGTAATTGGGAGATAGGCGAAAAGCTAAGATTATTTTCATTTTCGCGTGAAAGTACGTGCTAACTCCAGCGATCGAATAGCTAAAAGCATGGGATCCGCTCTGACCTGTGTTGATCCATGAAAATATTTTGATGAAAATTTCCGTGAACAATCAATAAATCCGCAATTTCTGCAGTGGTTTACATGAAAATAAGTATGACCACGATTTTCATCTCAATATCGCGGGAAATACTCGGCAATTCCTGCAGTTATCCGGTGGTCCAGTTGCATACCTTCAAAAAGAGCCCAGTGCTGTGGGTAAACTAGGAAAATTTTGCCAAATCTGGGTACTTGTGCACTTCGAGTTAGGTTAGGTTAAAAACAGATTTTTCTTCAAACTAAGCTTTTTAAATAGCGAAGTTCAACCTGCAATAACTCCAGGTTGCTTAATCCTTAGATGCCCAAGACTTTTTTACATGCGAAGTCCCAAGTCGGGTCATATTGACCCGTACTTAAATACCTTGATTTTGATAATTTTTCGTCGACGTTTCTCCTATCTTTCGCTGAGTTGCTAAAGTAGCCCTCGAATCACCGCTACAAAATAGGACAAACGGAACCAACGCAACATGGAAATGAAGCAAAGGAAAGGACGCGTGTGGACGACGGCAGGCGCAGAGATACAACTATTCGTGCTTGGTGGATGTCCGTGCTGCATCTGCATAATTGAAGGCGCTATGGCGCAAGGCATAATCTCGCGATGCTCCGCTCCATGCTACCAATAAGGTGTCGCTCAGATTCGGGAGAAAAGTCAAAAAACCAGACCCGATTAAATCTCTTATATCTTCGGGATAGTGTTACTCACGTAGCCCTTGAAGCACCACTACAAATCAGACAAACAGAAATAAAAACATTACATCGTGGGCTAACGAACATCACCGCCCAACTGACAAATTTGGCAAAAAAGAGTTCAGCGACTTTCCCGCATTCTACAGTATAAAATACGCAACTCTAGTAGCAAAGCAAATTTTTGTTTCTCTAAAAAAAGTATTAAAAAAACATATCTGTTATTAAATGGTAGTTTTATATAAAAAAACGTGTAACGCTTTTATAAAAAAAATCAAAGTTCAGACCTGGCCATAATATATGAAAAATGATAAAAGCTAGATCAGGTAATTTTTTTTATACTCAATTTTTTTATTTTTTTATATAACGCATGCATATGAAA